CTTTGTATTTGGCACATCATGAATAAAGTTCCGAACAAGGTTATTAAGAAACCGAAAAACCTTTAGTTGCAGTTTAGTTACGTAATTAATTCTGTTTACTCTTTATTTCTTACATAATTAATTTACTTGCAGTTTAGTTACGATCTTCTTAATAATACCACGTTTAAGAAACAATTTTTCAAGCTCGTATGGAACATTCACATATCACCTGATGAGTTTGAGAGTAGATGGATGGTTCTTATCSAGGAGTTCTCCCTTCAAGATCATCCATGGTTGAAAGATATGTTTGCTCTAAGATCTCAGTGGATACCCGCGTATTTTAAAGAGCTTCCAATGTGTTGCCTTATGAAGACAACATCCAGGTCAGAAAGTGCGAACTCATTCTTTAACTCTTTTTCAAAAAGTGGAAACAATCTTTTTCAGTTTATGTTGGRGTTTGAATTTGCGTTGGAGAAACAACGTCGGGAGCAACGTCGTCTTGATTATCACACGAGAACTACCTTACCTAATTGGTTGACCTATAGCCAGCTGAAGAGGCACGCCTGTGAGATTTACACGCGTTCTGTATTTTTTGAGGTGCAAACCGAGATACACAGGGCTGCGTGGACATGTTCAATTAAAAGTGTCAATTCAAATGAGGAAGCAGAAACATATATAATTGAACATTTAGACAAAAGAGATRAGAAAATAGCAGAGTATAAGGTATGATCGTATAGAAAGTCATTTATTATTGGTTTTATATATTATTGTTTTTCTTTGAACAACATTTCGATTGTGATATTTGATGTTAGACGTTTATATTATGCACAGGTTGTTCGGAACTTGAAGGATTCTACCGTTTTTTGTAGTTGCAACCACATTGGTCGTCATGGTTATTTATGCAGACATGTGTTCAAAGTTTTGCTAAACGCCGGTGTTGATACTATACCTGAAGAATACATTTTGAGAAGATGGAGACGTGACCTTATACCTATTGAACTTCAAAACAGMCGTCAAAGAATATGCGACGTAGGGGAGGATCAACGGAGAATAATTAAYGATACATATGAAATCGTCGATGATGTGTTGGATATATTAARARATGACAAWGAAAAACTAGAATCATTTGTGGCTAMACTCARAGAAATGAGAGATRATGTAGCMAAAGATCGCACATATGAACCTTCRATGAAACGTAAAGAGCGTGRAATAGAACAAATTCTTGGTTTTACAAGACCTRATAACATTGAGATACATYCTGCTACCGGTATAAGAAACAAAGGWTGTGGTACGTCAAAAAGATTGATTGGTGCAGCTGAGAAAGCAACAKTGAAGAGTAGCAGGCCTAAGAGGATGTGTAGGGGATGCAATATGATGTCTAATCATGATATCCGTAACTGTCCAAATAAGACAAAGTAGGACTATTCTGTTTTTTTATGTTTGAGATCAATTTCTTTTTATATAAAATACACTTATCCGTTTTTTTTATGATATTGATTGAATTGAATTCATAGCTGTTATAGTTTTTTAATGGAATTATATATGTTTATGTACTTTGTTGAGTATAAGTTATATAGATATAAAATATAACTGGTTAAGTTGGTTTAGCAATTCTTTACTATTTACATGATGCATGATTAATGGATAATAATTATGATTCAATGTGGAACATTATGATACATAATATAAATTACCTTGATAACAGTTTTCACTATTTAATTCATGATTTGTATTTATGGTTCATTGTATGATGTACTGTGAGACAATGTGAGACAATGTAATACGATGTGATACATATGTTACATAATCACCCAGTACATACATGTGTGATATCTGTATTAATAATTACTTCATGATTCGTAATTATGATAAATAGTCCATACATGTATTGCGATACCTGTATTAATAATAACTTTATGATTCGTAATTATGATAGATAGTCCATACATGTATTGCGATATGTGATACAAGCCATTAAACAACTTAATGAAATTACACAACATATGAAATACGCAGAACAATGAATGTATTTAAGAAAAAAATTCGAAATATCCATTTAATATAAGCTAAATACCAGACGTTTATGTCTTAAATACAAAAACAAGCTTAACTTATCAGTTAGAGAATCTGTTCCAAACAAGTTACAAAAACTAACTACCCTTTACCGTATACTAAATGAAATACTATTCCAGTACAGTTCTGAAATACTTGCAAGCCTAGCTTCCCTGTTAGATTCTGCATATTTAAGCAAACGCGTTCTCTCTTTCAAATCCAGTGCGGTAAACTTTTCACAATCTGCTATCACAAATGGTCGTCTAATGTTGATCTCTGCGAGCTATAGTTTAGCAGTGTACTTCCTTCTCAATAATTGGAGTTGTTTGACTTGGTTTGCTCCTTCCGCATCTAGTCCTGATTTCCAGCGGTAAGGCAGCTCCCCCATGTAGCACTCCATATGACGCATCAAGAATACACCACAATCATGMGAATTCTGTTTTGTAGACCATTTCAATGTTATCTTTACCGGATCTATCCCAACAAAATCTTCATACAATGGATGACTTACCTTCTTGAGATGTTGTATCATCAAAAAATGCTGCAAGAAAATGATAAATATGACACTCAAATCATTGTATAAATAAACATAAAATGAATGAATTAAAAATATAGTTTGTTTGAAGTTCCTCACCAAAAGATCCGGTATTTCTTCATATTCGCTGGGTGCTTCAAGATCTTGCTGAAGGTTATCAATAACCAATATGRAAGGAATTTTGAAATTGAACACCACCACAAAGTAATGCATGTCTCTGACGATTGGAAAGAATAACTGCAATTGGTAGTTGTTAGTTAAATGTGATATCTAAAAAGAAGTTAATAAATGTGGTTACTACATATTAACTCACCAAGTCAATTGATTTGAAAGTAACAATGTTTGCATCACCTCCAACAGCTGCCAATAGATTGTCAACAAACATATCCAGCTTCACATCGTCCTTTATTTTTGAATCAAGCATTGCGGTCGACTGGTTCAACAATTTCRTTGTTAGAAAATTTACAAGTTTCTATCAATGATTTATGTTATTTATATAAKCACACTTACAAGAATCGCACTGTGCATAAAAAGCCTTCTTGGTGATGATTTGTTCCTGAAACGCTCTTCGTAATTTAGTAATGCAGCCCAACTATCAATGACATTACTATATATCTGTGTTCTTGCACATAGGGATTCTATCGTCCCTCTCAACGCAACGGCTCCTGATTTGGTCTCAAATATAGATTCACTGCATTATATAACCGAAAGTAGTAATTTAATACAATACTTTATCTAGTATAAGTATTAAACATAATATATTTAAAGTTAATGGTACTTACCAAGTTGGTTCTGTTGATGCATTTATCCAATTGCATATTTTCTTCTCAGAGCTTGTCTCCACTTTATCGATCTCCACGCATCGTTTAACATATGGAGATCTTTGTGATTCCCCTAAGTTCGCATCCCTTCGTGATGCCTTAGGTGCGTCACATATTGATTCCACTTGTGCGTTTGGTGAGAACAACGATTTTTTGAATAAAGGTATGAATGAAAGGGGTTGCGGATTCTGGACAGTCTTATCAGGTGAAATACCTAAATCAAACTTCGGTATTTCAATGTTCTTGTTCTGCATTTTCATGGCATATGAAATGAATGAATTATCTAGTTCCATATGAGTTCATGGACTGTTCCAGATCGGTGAATCGACCAGGGATGCACCTGGTACAATCTGCATTCCAGCAGTTGAATCGGGGCTTTTTTCCATATCTCTAGATTCCTTATCCATCCTTTTCTTTGACCCCTTCGCAGTTCTCTTTGGCGTTTGAAACAATTGAATTTGAGTTTCATTGTTCACAACATCTCCTGTAGAAATATCTTCTTGTCCAAACATACTTTGCAGCTCCCTGCTCATTATCCTCAAGTCTCTATCCAAAGGGAAATCTGATATGGCATTTTCTATCAACATCTCTATGCTTTGTTTCTGTGCTAAGATCGAATCCATCTTCGACCTTATACAATCCTTGTATTCCTGTATGTGTTATTTTAAAGAAAAATTACATCAGTATGTAATTAGTAGAATGCAAACCATTATGTAGCATAACATGTCCAGCTGTTGTGGTATCATGTGGTACACATTACTGTGTTGGTTTCATAGGTACATATTACTGTGTTGGTTTTCGTAGGTACATATTATTGTTGTGGTATCATGTGGTACATATTAATGTGTTGGGAAAATAATACATCAGTATGTAATTAGTAGAATACAAATCATAATGTATCATAACATGTCCAACTGATGTGGTATCATGTGGTACATATTAATGAGTTGGGAAATAATACATCAGTATGTAATTAGTAGACTGCAAACGATAATGTAGCATAACATGTCCTACTGTTGTGGTATCATGTGGTACATATTATTGTGTTGGGAAATAAGAAGTCAGTATGTGTGGTACATATTAATCTGTGGTATCATGTGGTACATATTACTGTTCCATGAATGGGTATGTATCTATGCAAACAGTTTAATAAGTTTCATAAATACCTTCAGCTTATTCTTTAATGAATCTTTCTTAGCCGTTGTTCGTTCAACAAAATCATCCGGTGATTTGTCCTTCTCTGTTCCATCGTCAACAATAAGTGGCCAGGTCCCAAAACCACCATCTTTCAATTCCAAATACTCCCTGCGTCTGAGGTAATCCATATTCCACACAGTAATTGCTGGCCACCTTCGTTCAACTTCAAACTTCTTGCATTCTGTCAAGTCCGCATACAAGAGCTTTGTACAATAAAATGTGAAAATTGGTTAATATACAATAATCAATTTGCTAACATAAAAAGTTTCAAACTAAGTATACACGTACCGTCAAGAAAGTTATTGGACCTGAGTAGAAAGTCTCAGTGTTCTTTTCACTATTCAGTGTGTCCTTGYTGGTTCTTAAGCAATCAAATACATATTTGCTCCAATCTATGCTTGATATGTCAATGTCCTCTGTTAGGTAATTGAGAACCGCGGGGTTGCAATGACCACAAGAATTGCATTCTGCCATGGTTGAAAGAAACAACATCAAAAAGTTAATCTGAAACTCGAAATCTGCATTATCGGACTCTTCAACTTTCTTCATGACATCGGATATTCGTACTCTCTTCACAGCGAATTGTGATCTCCAAGACTTCTTTATATTTTTTTTCCGTGGTGCTGGGTCTGTCAAATAAATATCAACTCCTCCAATAGGGGTCCCTAGCATATCATGCACTATCTTCGTGTTCAACTTAATTGTCCCTTGGCCCAATCGAAGCTCCATCGTGCATGTATCCAGCTTGTCCACCAAGTAAAATGCTAATTTTGATGGTATGTAATATGTCCTCATTTTCAATATACCACCAAACCCCATATCCTCAACCGCTCTCTTCTGATAATCATTCAGTGACTGAATAGCCACACACAGTGGCCTAGGGGTAGTCCGGACTCTGATTGTTTGCATCGTACCTGACTTCTTCTTTCTAGTGCTTTTAACGACGACCTTTTTTTCAATTTTCTCTTTTCTTTGACTCCCACCAACAGTAGTTGATTTTAACTTCTTACCTTTTGCAGTTGTTTCTTTTACATTCTTTGAGCTGCTTCTTATTCTAATTGTGTTATCCACTTCAACATCATGCGTATGTGAATATGCACGCTTATCTTTTTCTGATTGTGCCTTTGATAATGATTTTTTCAAATCAGATGGTAGAATAACCCTTATTCCCGAAGATGTGGTGACCACTGTTGGTTTAGCTGCAAATTTGTTTAATTTACAGTGCCGTTATAATTCAGTATAATATTGTATATGGAATTTTTAGCTATAAACTAAGTGATAATGTATGTAGTTACGTACATTGCCTATTGCCATCTTCCGGGATTGTCACCTTCTTCTCTTTAACTCTTTTTGCTTCCTTTGCACATATTTTTTCTCCCTTTTTCTCCTTCCTACCAGTATCTCCTTCCTTTTCTGTATTCTTATCATTATGTCGCTTCCTCTTCGATGTTTTTCCACCTGAAAGATCAAGAATAATCAATATTACAACAAAGTGTAAACTAGAGCAGAAGATGCAGTAAATACAATGATAAAAGTCTCTTTAGAAAATCACATGCATGGTTGCATGAGAATACACAAACACTGCCATGAGTACTGAATGGAAGTTGGAAGGCATATTATTTAGTCAACTCCCCTATGCCGTATATAAATATTATATACTTAAAAAAAGTATAAGCCCCTCTTAAACAAGTATGTGCAGATTTTTGGTTTGACAGATATCTATGTCACAAATCAGACTTCTTCTCTTCTTTCTAATTACATCATCTCCCTTGTTTGCTATTTTTCAGTTAGTGGAAGTGGTTATGTTCATAATC